CTCTCTGCCCAGAAACATCTGTAAGACTGTTAYAAAGTATTTCTTCTATTTAAGTAGGACACCTGACAGGGGGAAATATCTATGCAAAATGTCAGTGAAGCCAACAGGTTTCTGATTAAGACTGGCACCTGGCAATAGCTATARATTTCCACACATTTATCCCTCCCAGCACAGAAATCATACATCTCATGCTAACTCACATGCTTATGGAAAAAAATCTTGCATATATTAATATAAAATGTAGCAACTTCCTTCAATGCTTTTAGAACATCCTTGAGAAAAACAAAATAGCACACATCTCTAACAGAGTTCTGAAAGTGGATCAAAAATCCTATAAGGAGAGACTTCTGTATTTAGCTCCAATTAATTTGACTTCAGTACAGATACTCTGGAGCCAAAAATAAACCCTAGACTGTTTGACTCCCATTTTCTGTTCTAGCCACTACACCACAGTTTGACAATGATAGGTACTTTACATAAATGCTAGTTTCTCTCAGTACTACATATTTTCAGTTGCTTTTTCAAATCCACTCCACGTCAAGTGGCTGCCACATAAACGTATTCTTTGAATTGCAGAGTCCAATTTGCCACTTTGCGGAACTGCCACCTTACACAATACAACCCTTGTGATGCACCAGCTAATTCTTAGAATTTAAATATATGGGTTTTATCGTAACTCATGTATCAGAGTTTATTACCCTACTGACTGCTGCCAGCGGAGTGCAGTATCAGGCACAGGCACAGCACCAGAAACATCTGCTTCAAAGCACAGAAATAGCAACAGGATTTCAGAAGAGGTAAGGTCAGGGAAAACACCAGYAAGAGAAACATCCCAGTATTGCTGCCACCAGTTCCATGGAGGCCAGGTCTCACATTAAATTTAAGGAGTTTGTGTCAATTTAAAGACTTTGAAAAAAATCCCAAAACTTTACTTGGACATCAGTCTGAGGGCCTGGAAAGGGTAGGTCTTTCCAAATTGGCACCAAATCCTGCACTTTTTATTCCTGGAAAGGTTTTGTTTACATTATTGCAATTCTGGGTAAGGATTGCAAGATGTAACTCTGAGATCAGACGTCTAATTCTGTCTCTCTGTTTACTGCATTGATTGTTCTCTTTCAGACTCTGATCTTGCTATTCCTGCTCAGTGCAGGCTCCCTTCTRTTGGGAAAGGGGAATTAAAATGGGATTCAACTGAAAAGCTGAGGCAGAGCAGGGAATGATGAAAACACATCATCTGCCATGAGCAGCCATCATCATGGCTAAATTTAGAATATAGGCTCCTCAGGCAGAGAGATGATCCGCCATCCCTGTGGGGCACCAGTCACACAGTGCTACATAAATATTAAAATAATAATTGATGATTAATTAATAATGGCTTCCTTTTCCTCATGACCATCTCTCAGCTGCCATAAGAAATAATAATTTCCTTTCTTCCAGATGCAGATACAAACAATCACTCAAAAGCTTATCTTCTCAGAGAAAATTCACTTTCCCATTCCTTTTCAATAAAATTATGTTTTTCTGCAGCCTCGGACATGAGATTCTGAACCATTYCCAGGCACTCAGTTTAAGAAAGAAATACTAATTAAAAATGCCTCAGAAGCCACAATAACCAAAATAAACATCAAGAAGGCAAAGCTGAGGTACAGAAAAAAAAAATCAATTCATTCCCTCTTGTTCTATTAGCAACTCCTCTCTAAAGACAGAAGTCTTTTAATAAAACTCAGTTTTATTTCCCACAGCATCTAGCTGTAGGAAAGTATCTTAAGGATACCTACATTCCTTCAGTGACCATAGCTACAGAYATCTGACTCTGATCTTACAGCTGCCTCTTATCAGTGCATGGTTCTTGCTTTTGATATGCAACAAATGCTTTTGATATTCACTTTACTTTCTGTAGTTAGAAAACCTCCAGAAATTCAGCAAGCAAGCCACTCCTTTTGCTCATCACCTTGCTCTGTCCATCTCTTCCCAATCCAGGGCAGCCTTACCAGACCTTCACCTCGCACCAGCAAGCCCTCTTACTGGTAACTGAACCACCACATTGTCCAGCAGATCTCATAGCTACTAGCCCCTCTTGTAACCTCTTATTTAACTAAATAAATGAATAAATAAATAAAACAAAAATCCTTTGTTCTCCATCTGCCATATTCTATCAGCATTCAGCCCTCGAGCTCCAAAGCTGGTGTCTGCAGCCTGAGTTCATTCCTCTCCAACTAATCCTGCTTTCCAAATGTCAGATTCTACCRAAGCCCTTCCTTACTAATGACCCTACTACTCTTCCTTCACATCCTTTTTTCTATTGGTTTGTGTTAGGGCTTTTTCTACCAAATAACCAGCCTTACCTTTCCCAGCTGCTCAGTACTGCAGGTGTCAACCACCTAGAAAACCCTGACCAAGCCTCAAAATCCCATTTAGTTTTCAAGATAATTATTAAGATAATTATGCTTTTCAGACAAAATTGTTTCCTTGCGGAAGAAAGTTTACATCATCGAGAACATCAACATTTGTCTATCATATTTCTTCATGGTATTTTTACTGATAATGAATGCCATCTCTTAATAATCCCCCAGGCCCTCTTTAGAGACAATTATCATAAAAACAGATCTTCCTAATGAAGATAGAGTTACTGAGTCCAGAAGTTTCAAATCACTAATCAGGACAGCTGTGAGACTCAGTGCAGCAATTAGTTTTAGAACCAGTTCTAAGCTGAAGTTGGATGGCTTTCTGAAAGGGAGGGATGTTCCAGCGCACAGATCAGTGAACCCTGCAGGGCGGCAGCTGACTGGGACCTGCCGGGTCACACGCAGAATGGGCACGGGTGTGAGCATGTCACACAGGCACAGCAGGGCTAACAGCCMCTGAGAAGATTGCAGCAGAAAATAAAACATCCAGAGCCCCCGTGCAGGAAGCAGCACAGGGAACACCTTGGGGAGCCTCAGGGGCAGCCCAGCCCTAGGCAGGCTGTGGGGGCAGGCGTGGGCAGCGCTCACTGCAAAGCCCTCAGTATGAACACACGTGGATGCCAACACGTCAGACACCGGGATTCACCTGGCTGGCCTGTACATCCTGAACAGCAACCTGGATGTAAGAAACCCCCTCTGTAAAGATTTCACCCCAGGAAGTCATCTTTCCACACTTAKAAAGACCATAGCAGAAGAATGCCACCTGTCCCCAGAAATATCATCTCATGCACTGGATGATGTTTACCACTATGCTAATTTTAAAAATTCCCAAGCAAACAAATGAGGGTCCAGTCCTTCAGCCCAGATCCAGCAGCTCCCAAGCCCTTCATTCAGACAGAAGGCTCCTGCCTCCTTACCCAAGGACAGCCTCAACAAATGAGTGCAATTAAAACATAGATAATGCATCTGAACATGTGCATTCCTCATTTATTTAACAAGCACAGTTTAGCTTTAATTATTAACGATAACACTTTAGAAGAAACTAGTAAACACAGTGCAGTAGACTAGAAAAGTAGGAAAGGCCTTACTGCAGGAGACCACTTCATGGTCTCTTGCTTGGAAGCCTCCGATGGGAGAGAGAAAAACCTCACCCAGTAAMGGAATTACAAGGCACAAGAAATAGGGCAAATGAGGATACTGAGGTTGTATTTGACTAAAAACCTTTTCCACCAACATGAATGGTGTTATTCAGAGTTGTCTGTGTTGAAATCCTCCCACCTCACTTGCATGTGCAGGATGGGTCCAAGTGGCTCAAGGAGTCTTTAGACCTACTTACTCCTCCTCCCTTGTCCCACCAGGCAAATGAGGACTTGTGGCAAATCAGTGCATTTACTGTACAAGTAGCTAAGGGGAAGGGGATGCCTTGGTCCTTTAGAGTCAGGCAATGTGGGATCAGACACTGCCCTCAAAAAGTCTCAGTCCATGTCAGGGCTGCAGACATCAGCAGTCTCAAGCTCAGCTGGAGAGGAGCTTTGTTGGGAAAGATGAGAGAAAGGGCCATAGAAGGAAAGGGCAGGGGAGGCCTGGACATGAGAAAAGAGAAGGAGCTATGAGGAGTAGGAGCACGCAGCCAGCCACCCCAGGAGCACCTGTGAGCATCACCTCTGGGCCAAGGCGGTGTGACAGTGGCAGATCTCTGGGCACTCCCTGGCACAGCTCTCCCTTCCCCAGTGGCAGCACCAGTGTTTGCTCCAGCTGCCCTGATCCCCCTGCAGGCAAAGGCATCTCCTGCAGCACACCTCTGGTACCCCTCTGTGGACTTCTGCCATCCTTGCAAATTCAGCTCTCTGAGAGGAGCCAGAGCTTTTCCATCTCTGTCCTTGTCACCAAAGCCTCTGTCCCTGTGGACAATGCTCACCGTTACTGCTCTCAGAGACCACTGGGAATTTCAGTGGAGGGCAATGCAATGGGAGGGCCCGTTCTGGGCTGCACTGCTGCCTGCCAGCTGCCACAGATCATGCTGCTCTCTCTTAGCCTGGATTAGTACACCCAAAGATAGGAAACAGAACGATTTGAAACTGAAAGTACTCCAAAGTCACAGCACTAGTCCCTGCCCTCCTGAGACCATTGCAGTGCGTGAAGAACCTGTGGCGTCTACTGAAATCCAAGCATACCCGCTAATAAAGATCATCACACTGAGCACTGCCCAGCAACTTCAGGGCACTGGAACTTGAACGAAGAAGTATGTTCAGCTGTTTACATGGATCACTGGCGAGTAGATGAAGTGTCTCTGCAGGCTCTGATCTCCAACTCAAACCCATTCCAATGCACAGTTGTACAGAAAGACAATGCAGCCCCCTCCAGACAGCCAAGCACAAATGAGGAGATGTTCAAGTCTTAAGCCAACTTGGGATTGTTATTCACCAGGGAAACCTGAAACCAAGCTTAGCACTTATCTGGAATCAATTCTTTTACCCTTACTCTATAAAGTCAGCCCTCTTTCTTAATGAAAAAGGTGCTACGCACACTAGCCTTACCTTTTCTATATTTYGACTTCAGTACTGCTGGCTGTATTTAATAGTTTCACTCCTGCAGAGCAACCTTCTGGAAAGGTCAAAACAAAACACTGGGAGTCAAATTCATCGCTGGTACAACTCCATTGACTTCAGCAGCRTTACACCTGGGATAGATCCAGCCCTAACTGCTTCCATTACGGTAAGTGGAAAAGAAGTGTGCTTGCTGTCTTAACTTTACTTTTCAATTGATCTGTTCTGTTCTACTCTGTGTGTTTCATTGCAATCAATAGGACTATATCTACTAGAGAAAGTTACGGCACAAAACATCTGAATAGCTTTTAAAAAACTTGTCTTCTYGGTTTATAATGAATGTCAAGGAGATGAGAAGATAGCAGGCATTCAGCCTGCACTCAAATGCTTTATCTGTTAGAAGAGGATAGATGAAAGCAGCTACCATAAATATTTTTATGTATAAGCTACATCATAACCAACAGAGATCYTCCTTAAAGATGTCCTCTTGATAGGAGGCATGAGCTGCCAGTCCTGAACAACGATGTCCAACAGAGCTCAGATGTTACAGGGACGGGTACTATAAATGTTTATAAACAGTTAGATTGGGGGGGAATAAACTTAACTTCTCTAGGAATGTGTTCACATTCATCATGTTCATCGTGTTCTGCTGTGCACYACACTAGCACCACACCAGCCATGCYGATAGACTCCTTCTAGGCAGAGGTAGGATTATGGGAATCTTATTTGTATTTCAAGTGCTTGTTTTCCTTTCCAGCTTTAAAAGCTTYTTCCTTCAATTCTTCGTTACATACTATGATGAACTTTGAAATTGTACCAGTACCCATTGCTCCGGCTGAAACACCACCCAAAGCCCTACTAGGTGAGCCACTTTTTAAAAAGTCATCCTGGAAAAATACCACAAATCAGTCTTATGGATTCAGCTTTGGTCACTGAAGATGTTATGGAATGAGATGACGTTATCAGACTAGACAGCTCTTAGCATTAAATTGTAGTCATGTGGCTCTTTTGATTTGCAATTTAGCATTTCACTTAAACCTTTGATGCAGAAATATCAGAAATATCTATTAATGCCTGCCATTACTCTAAGTTTTAATTTTTATTGCATTTCAGTGTCATGCATCCTTGCCCTGGAAGCTTCTGAAAGACATTATGGACTGTGCCTGGCAGTGTGCAGCATCTCCCAAACTGGGATGTGGGATGGGTGATGGGTTTCACCAAGAGATGGAACAAGCACATCTAAACTGCAGATGCATCGCTCCAGCACACGTATGCTACACAACATTTTCAGATGTGCGATTTGGATTTTGAGACAATTTACTGACGGAGAGGCTCATCTGTGCTGGAATGTTACTGTGCTCAACCACAGCCACAGCATCTCCTCTTCTTGAGGAAGCTGTCTAAGGTGGTCCCTAAAGGCACAAGAGAATATCCATTCACTACCTCTTCCACAAGATAAAGATCCTCTATCCCAAATTGACAACTTAYACACTCTCTTACTGACTCCCAGTTTGAAGGCTTTGTGGTAAAATTCAGTACCTACTCTGTCACACAGATCCTTCACCATTTATCTCATGTCAGCTCAGTCAGCAWCACTGACCAGGTCTCAGGTGCTAATGGCTGTCATTTAAACGTTGTCTTAACATAGAATCAGTCAGGAAAAAGCAATTATTTTAAGGAATACTATTGCATTAATTTAGTTTGCATCACTGGAATGTCTTAGTATAATGGATAACGCATTTGTGMTCATACGAATGTACTCCCTGTAAAAACAATCTTAAGATATAAATAATGAGGCAAGAAGGATTTGTGAAAGGGGCTTTTTCTGCTCTTTGTATTTGCTTGCTCTTCTTTTAAACTGTGTATCATTCACTTTAATGTACACATTTGSAATACCTATGCAACTGAGAGTAATTCAATTTTCCCACCACAATCCACAAGATGTTCTTCCCTTGATCATTCCAATTYGTACATTACTTTGTGGCCACTTCAGTGTCAAATTCAGCCTTCCCTGCAATACCCAAATGCTTCTAACACAATTTACAGCCTACTTAGAGACTACCTTCTTGGAAATAATGTTAATCAGGATAATTTCTCCTCTTACTTTAAGGAGCTCTTGATTGGGTGCTTTCAATCAGCTGTTAGCCAGAGTTACCTCAGAATTTCTCAAGTTCTTATGGGGAAATGGGACAATGCCATTTAGCAGTCAGAGAGCATGTTTAATGGATCACGCTAATCTCAGGGAGGGCCTATGAAAGTCTAATTTGTCAGGTTTCATTACATTCAATAATGGCTCTAATTTTCCTGAAGTGTTCTGCTCACTAGTAAATTATGTACCATGGTTTTGCACCCCATTTTCTCTAACTCTGTATTTGAAAAATTGAAGGCATCTCATTCTCCAAGGCCACTGCCCAGAAGAGGCCTGAAAAAGAGAGGTTAAGAGTTCACAGCCAGATGTATTTATCTCAGAAGCAGGTATAATTCTTTGCAAACAGCTAAGTGTCAGTGCAAAACCAAGCTGATTCAGGGTAATAAAAGCACTTCTGCAAAGCTTTTAGGTGACACTATATCCCTCACAAGCTTTCTCCACCCCTGTGTCCATTTTATCATCCGATACCATCATTACCTTGACCAATCTTCACATTATTTCCTTTCCAAATGGATCGATTGTAAACCAGCTCATCTGCTAATGCTCGGTGCAGGTTTGGGTGATTCTCCTATTGTTTCAATTATTTCTTTGAGGAAAATTGAATCCTGTTAAGCAAACAGGGCTTTTATCTCAGCTGAAGATGCAAGAGCTGTGGTTGCCACTGACAGATCAAGAGCTTCTTATGAAACCCTCCTTTCAGTTGTAGCACCCTCAAGTGACAGAGATGTCCCAGTTTAGCTCATTACAAGTAACAGACAGTGTTAGCTATAACCCAGCACATTAAATAGTTGAGCTATTAAAATTAACCAGTATTTCTGGAGGAAGATGTGCCATCTCAGCAAATGATGTGGTGATCTCCCTGGTTTTGATCTGCTGCGACAAACGAATGACTTCCCAAAGAGCAAAACAAAAGGCACAAATGGCTTCACCCCGATTTCCAGGGGCTAATTCTGCTTTGGAGAGAAACACAGCATTGATCGAGATTCAAAACAGAACCTGTCAGGTTTTCTCAGATGTCTTTGGAGATCTGGCTTGGCAGTCCATAAGTAATGCAGAGTGTGCAGAGGCAAAAGCCCCAGGGAGAGTGATCACAAAGGAATAAATAGAGCAAAAYAGATCATCTTCCATTTGCTGCTTGTGGGGCAACTCCACGGTACYTTCACACCTCTTCACTCCAGGGTAACAGTGCCTATGCACTTTCTACACAGAGACTGAGGAGGTTCTGTCCACAGCCATTCAAAACCCTCTTTATAAGKTACTATATACTGAATGGGGTCAAAGTAATTTGATTATAAATGTCTGCAGTCACATTTTAAACCCCACAATCATCTCCCAGGATAGTTTTATGTAAAACTTAGTCAGCTACCCGAAGAAACAGTGTTTATCAAGATCTGCCTTTCACAGAGTTCAATGTAGCATTGCTGGAAATAAACACCAGCTCAGTCAGAGACTCTAATTTCAGATTTGTTATGCCAGGACTTACATGATTTTCCTTGTCTTGCTCAGATACGCATGAAGGGTCCAAAAGAACAGCCTTGCTGTAAGCATGAGACCAAAGAGAGCCACTTTCTGTTCATTATTGCCTTTAATACACCAGCCTGGTGCTGGAAAGACTGTTCTGTTGCCACCAGTGAAGTCCTGAGGAGAAGACACAGCTTTCCTACACAGAGCACTTAGAACTTGTCCAGAATAAATCAGGAGGAACTTAACTGCAAAAATGTCACCAGAACCATAGTCAGATGACAGAGCACTGCTTAGCACTGTTTAACTTGAATCCTTCTAGGCCTCAAGAGACTAGCTGCTAGGGACTAGGAAATTAGCCCTTTTCAAAGCAAGGGATTCAAATGTCTCTTAAACTTGTAAATGCCTGAAGTTGAATGCAGATTTCRGGGCTCTGCCCATCACCAGATATCTAGTGATGCTCTGGTATGTCAAARCAAATACAGTAAATAACCCTACTACTTCTACACGGCATTATCATTCCTGATCCGAAAAAAGCTTTTCAAGTGAAACATGCTCTGCACTACCTGAATGCAGAAACAGCTGTCTGTCCTGCAGTGTTTTGCTTAAAATGCTTCAAATGGCCCTTGGTTTCTGTGCCTAAGGCTGATATACACTCGCTTGTACCAGCAGCTCCTAGGCTGGAGCCCTCATTGAGGAAAAAGCCAATTTGTCTTTCACTGCTTTAACATCAACATAGCAGGAATCACAGCACTTTTGAAATACCCCCCGTGATTGTGTTTGTGACTCGGGCACTTGGGAAATTCATGCCACTTTGAATGATGATGTTTTATTGGGAGAACATCAGAAGTAGCAAGATGTCTTGTATTGACATATTGGTTCCACTTTGCTAGACATACGGGATCAAAGTCGTCCCTGGCACAACTCCATAACCTTCAACAGATKGGATAAATTTGGCCCCATATGCCTGTAGCAGCTGGGGACTACAATTGTTTTCCTATTTTCAGCCATATTTTGAGGATATGGAGCCTGATTTTCTGCTTGCAAAGCAACTTGAGATTTTGCATATGTGCAATGTGAGGCGAACAATTTGTATTGTCATATATGGCCCTGGTATGATTGTTAGGGTCATCTGCAGCACATACTTAAATTTTGAATTAAACACATGCTATAAATAGGCTAGGAAGAATCAAGCTAGATTATTTTATCAGACACTCAGCAATCTGTTTGACTGGCTTCCCTGCCCACTAGACATGGCATCAGAGTCCATTTTGAATGCAAAATTGCATTTTCTTTATGCAGCTTCTCCTATCCTCCATTGTATTCATATAGAGAGAAGCAGTTCATAAATGCCATTTCACATTCCAAACAATTTGCTATAGGCAACTACATTACTGCTTTGTTCAAATAAATTTACATAAATCATTATTAGAATGTTTTATCTTAGCAACTTTATTTTGCTCCCAGAGCACAAATTAAATGCGTGCATAAACCAGAATATTTTAGAGGGAGTTATTCCTGAATTGTTTATGAGACAGCAGACATTTCCACCTAATTTTTCATTCATAATGTAATTTCTTTAGTTTTCTCTGCATAGTTAAAAACRGCACATCTAATTTGCTGGGGTTTTCCTGGAAGTGCGCAATAGAATAGATGACTGTGCCGCAATCTGTTCATCCATCAGCCAGCACTTCCTTTGACTCACTCCACATTCTGCTCAAAACACTTGGTGGGAAAGGCCAGGAATGACAGTAAACCCCACTYGCTGCTTGACATGATCGTATTACGAGTAAACTGTTGTTGTTAACCAAAATTTGCAAATAAAGTCACTGGAAAAGGAATCTATTTCTAGTAAATATTTCCGTGTTTGGATTAATTGAACAGAGCTCTCAGAGGCCTCGCTAGCTCAGATTTACAGCTCAGCACCCACCCATGCATCCTGTAACGAAAGGCTCTCGTTAGCATTACTTAATTACAAACACACACATCCTAATCGTGCTTGACTCACAGGCCACAAGGAGTGACTGGAGAAGAAAACCGGTGGCCAGAGTCACCAGTAACTGTGCCTGAAGCTCAGCACTTCCCCCTGCCCAGCCTGAAGGTGCAGCAGAGCGGCGCTATGGCTGGCTGTGCCCTGTGCCAGGCTCACATTCCACTCGTCAGTGACACAGTGGGAACTGAGCAATAACCAGCACCCAGCAGCTCTGCAGGCACCCTGCCCTGCTCATCCGCACCCTGSAGCCCAGAGCCAGCCTGCAGGAGCAGTCCCCAGCACAGCTCCCGACTGAGCACTGCTTTTGAGAGACCTGGCAGGYCCAGGCTGCCAAACTCCACACCTGGCTGCAAACTCCCTGTTAAAAGCCCAGCTGCAGCTCTCCCAGCAATGCTGTCACCACTCCCACAGCTCCCTGGTGTGCCACAGCATCTGGCACCTCTGCACCACAGCTGGTGTGYGCCACAGACAGGATGAGAAACTCTGCATGACCCTTTCTTCCTCCAGAAAGGCAGCACACCACGTGTCTGCTGTCACATTTACTGCACTTGCGTGTCTTGTTGCAGGCATTGCTGGTATGTCTCAGCTGCCAGCCCATCAGCTATACATCAGTTTAAACAGACATGAAAAATGCAGCAGGAGCAGAGACACAGCTGAGAAGTCTGTATCAGCATTCAATGCAAACACCACCTGCCCCCATGGTGTTTCATCTCACTCTTGATCTCAGAGATAAACAGGAGTTGTGCAATCTGGAACTACATCTGGGTCAAGCCAGGGGTGTGGGAGAGGTTTAGGCCCGAGAATGCTCTCTTCCAGGGCCTCACAACTTTGTGCTAGCACAGATAGCTCTGTTATTTGGGATAAAGGGTGGAGGGTGACTGCAGRTAGTGGAAAAACCTCTTGCAGGTTTTTGCCTTTCTCCTTCCTGTCCTCAGAAACCAGCAGAATTTCATGCAGAGCAGAAGAACAAATCAAATCTCTTTGCTTTTACTTAATCAAAGTATACGGCATATCCTTATGGGTCTGGACAGATCGGTTCTCAAACCAGCATATCACAGCAAATTGCATCAAATATAGAGGCTTTCCACCCCACAGCCATGGTAATATCGTGTGAATAGCAAGTAACTGAGTACCGGGAACCCGGTGAAGCTTCAGTAATACAGCCATGGAAGACGGCAATAATTTATCATCTCTGCTGTAGTCTAATCCCAGATGCACCATTTGCTAATTTATTTCCATATGTACCTGGCAGACAGATTAATCAGCCATCTCTCTCTGAAACCTAGAATACACTTTATCCCTTTAGTTAGCAAGAGAAAACAAATGTACGCAGCAAAATAAGAGTCCCTTATAGAGGAGCTTTGTCAACCTTTACAGCTTGTGGTTTCCTTTTTCAGCTTAACAATGGCTTTTCAAAAACCTAACACCCAAATCTACTTCCACATCAGTGCATTTCTCCATCTACTGAAGTCTCTTTGCTAACACTGGTGAAAATGAAGGCAGAAATAGAGAAGGCACATCCCTTAGATTTCTAGACTCAGCTGGAGAGAGCAATGTGGTCCAAGGAGAGGGCAGCAGCGCTGCACCAGAGCCAGGGCCATCCCCACAGCCAGCAGTGACTCCTCTGAGCCAAGGAGGCTGTTTCTCTGCCACGGTTTGCAGAGCAGCAGAATCAGGATAATAATATTTTACAAAACATTTTGAGCTCTACTGAACTAATTACTATTATCAGCAGTAATGTGCTTCTGATACACTTAGCCCTTCTTCTGGAAAACTCTGCAAAGGGGCCGCACTTGCTGGAGCTGAGCAGCTGTTAGCACTTCAGCGATGCTATCGGTAATAAATACAGCGTCAATTCTGTGCCTGGTGCCCTTTAAGGATCTGTTTGCAATCCACTCTTTATTTTGATTATAAGACATTATCTGCATTAAACATAATTAGTCACATTATATCATTTGCCAACCTAAACGCAGTCGCTTGACAAGGCAGGATGGAGTTGAATGGAAGCGCAGCGCAGTCTGAAGCCCAAGGAGATGAAGGGAGTGGGAACTGGCGCAGACCCAGGGAGGACATGGACTCAGGCATCCCCTGGACACAGACTTTTTGTGAGAAGGCTGTCACTTGCACAGCCATGCTGCGACTCTTCCTTGTGTCAGTCTGAACGGGCACATGCAAAATGTCACTATCAAACCATGGAAGAGTAATAAAATGATTGCTGAAAATGAAATTATTTATGAGCTTCAGTACCCTCGTAACAGTTGTAATAATCAAAATACATAAATATTTGGATATGCTACTGACAGATGGTGTATACTGGAATAATCATACAGAATATGTCAGCTTTCAGAATCAGCTTATTCCAGAGTTGGCATGTTGCAGGGCTTTCTGCTACTAAAATAAGCACCTGGTATTTGATCCTCCAAAACTGTATTTTCACGAACACATGGGTGTCTTTTGATAGAAAAGCTATTGAGCCTGTCACCATCCACATACAGTGCCCAAGTAAGAGTGTGCTGCCACCAGCTTCCTCTGCTCTGCCTGCCTCTCGGTTGCAAAGGCAATGGAGATCTGTCTCGTTAGAGCTGGGGCTGTCAGGACAGAGTGACAGTGCCTTGCCAAAGTGCATCTGTGCTCTGGGTTTGATGCACACGCTGCCTGTGAGACAAACTGTTTCAGTTACAAACCCAGGAAGAACAACCCTACTTCTTCTGCCTATGCTCCTGGGTCAGCAAGTTTGAAAAAAACAGGGCTTTTGGAGAGCTCTGGCTGGAAATTAATRCTCATTAATAACGATTAAAATGATTACTGTGGACAAATCCACTCATTTGTGCTGGGCACCAGTGAAGCGGTGGCCTGTGCCCTGGGGAAGAAACCCACGTGGAGGTAACAGCCCCTGGTGAAGGGAAAGAGAAGAGCAAAGGCCATGTCCACGGGTTGCTCCTTCTGCCCCACACCCAGGAAAGCACAGGGCAGGCTGGAACTGGGAATGCCACATGGGAATGGAGATGCTGCACCTGCACCCCCAGAGTGTTGTTAATGAATGGCAGCCTCCTTCCTCCCTGGAGGAGATTCTTCCTCAGGGACGTGTCCAAGCCAGCACTGGTCCTTGGACTTCTCTATCCTCCCCTTAGTGACACTGAAACGTTTTGGCCACGACCCTCCCTGGTAGCAATTCCTCTCCCCCAATAACAATATTTCTGGAAAGCTGTTTACAGCACCACATAAGGCCATTTTAGCAGACAGTAAACAGCCAAATTTTAAAGATTAATAGGCATTCATTTATTATGTTACACTCTCTTCAGTTTTCCCAGACAATCAAATTGGTAAATTAGAGCCATAATTTTCCACCAATTAATACCAGATGTGACACATTTTGACACTGAAAGAGTAAATCTAAGAGAACTGTCAAATACTTCATATTCCTAATGTAATACTGTCTGAATAGAAAACCTAAAATCCTCATGCTTCAGACTCATTCTGAAACAGACACAAAGGATGCTGATGTTTCCAACTACTGCATGTTCACATGCTGCACACTGTCCCCTCGACAGTTGCTAATACCTTTCCCAAATGCATGTTGACTTAAAATCCCAACCCCAAACCAATATTTATACCTGCAGTCCAGTATAGGACATACTGCACAACATCAAAGGAGATGCCAATAAAAAGAGAAAATCAAGAGAAAATGCCAAAGACAAATGGGGATTATTGCATGTTTTCAGTGCAGCACAGGACAATGGTAGTTACCAAAGCTTCTAGAAAAGAAAATGAAATACAAAAATCTTGTTTTAGTGCTTCTCTCTTTCAACAGTTTCTACACTGGGACATTCCAGCCATCAGTTCCAGGCCAGTGTGCAGAATGCCACAGACCCAGATTTAGATGGGCTCTGTGTTAATACAGCTGATCAGAGCAACCAGGTCAAGCGGACCTGCTTGGCACACCTGAACTGGGAGACAGAGCTGCTCTCCATGGCCCTCTCAGTTCCTCCAGTTCTCTCAGTTCTGGTATCCAGAGAGGAGAGACATGAAGCTCTGGGAGCAGTTAAAGCTCATTTCCTTTAAACTCTGATCAGCTACAGTTTTGGGCAGGTGGGAACATACCACAGAATAGCTCTCCTTTACTGCAATTATCTCCATACTCCCTTTTCCCATATAGTCCCAGGCAGCACAGATTTTTGAGAGGCTGAAGGTGACTTTGCAAAGTAGGAACTATCCCCTTCACACCACATGCCCCTGCCAGGCCCTCAAGCAAATTTACCAATTTTCCCTATTCACACTGTGGAGATGAACTGGGATCGCAGAACCTATCACTCTAGCAGAGTCGCAGAGCTCTGTCAGTTGTCTGCCACAACCTCCAGTTATATCTTCCCAAATGCACCAGGCAAAAACTTCTGCAGACTTCAGGTTTCATCACACCTTACAATAAAAGGGATTGAAAACAGGAGGATGCCTAGAAACAAGAGGTCTTTTCCATCCGTGGTTGCTTTGCAAACTGAGGCAGCAGGCAAAGATCCACCATAATTACATCCCGTTGGCAATGCCATTGAAGGCAAATGCGGCCGGGTGAAAATCACTCTCCCTCTCGTACCTCACCACGCTCACAAGGAACAGGCTTCCCACGCACAACCAGTGTAACGTTTTGCCAGCACAGCCAGGTGGCTGACAGGTTTCCTAGTGTCCAGACTTAACTGGACAAATCTGGTACTCAATTCAGAAGTTTTCTCCTTGATTAGAAGCGTGGCCTTTGATGCATTTTGACCCAAATCAACTGGCATCATCAGGTTCTGGAAAAAAGCTGGGCTGAAAAGGGGCTCAGTTACACTTGCAGGGACATTACCAAGAATCTGCAGAAGGGTCCCAGCAGGGTGCTGGATCCAAAGCAGATAGTGCAAAGGTACAGATAGTTGGCACAAGGGAAGACTATCCCGACT